TAACAATACCTCCAAGGCTAAATAAAAATACCAGAAACTTGGAATAATACTTTCTTTATTTTCAAAGTAAAAATATATGAAGTTTAGACACCATTAGAAAACCAATACAGGCTGGTGACTAGTCCTTTGTTTAATGTGCTTGGTTAATATAATACGTATGTCCCTTCTATGTCTATATTCCTATATCATATACAAGCTTTGTTATAAATACTGCGTTATATAGTGCCATCTACGGTATACAACTTATAAGCAGACTATAAGGGAATATATTTATATGTATAGTTATATATACTGTAGAGTTATATATACTGTATAGTTCTTATATTTACTTATTAATTCTTGTTATGCTAAAAAGCCTAGATAAAGCAGGTTAGTTATCAATAATCTATAGAGTTAAATTAACAGTTATGTCAGCTACAGCTAAGAACGATAGCTACAGCAAAAAGTTAAGTACAGGTATACTGTATATAATATATATATATAAAATGATACACGTGAGTCAACTGTACCCCCGCAAAGGGTACTGTAGTTATTGTGAGGGTACAGTTTGTCACGTTACAGAATTGGGCATGGGGAGTGAAGGGGTGTGTAGGGGTGTGAAGGGGGGTGTAGGGGTGTAGGGTGTGAAGGGGGGGTGTGTAGGGGTGTGAAGTGGGGGTGTGTAGGGGTGTGTAGGGTGTGGAGGGGTGTGAAGGGGGTGGGTGTGGGGTGTGTAGGGGTGTGTGAGGGTGTGTGGGGTGTATAGGGGTGTGTAGGGGTGTGTAAGGGTGTGTGAGGGGTGTGGGGTGTGAGGGGTGTGGAGGGGTGTGTAGGGTGTGTGAAGGTGTGTGGGGGTGAGGGGTGTGAAGGGGTGAAGGGGTGGGGGTGTGTGTGAAGGGGTGAAGGGGTGTGTGTGTAGGGGTGTGAAGGGGTGAAGGGTGTGTAGGGGTGTAGGGGGTGAAGGGGTGTGTAGGGTGTGGGTGTGTGTGGGGTGTGTAGGTGTGTGTGTGAGGGGTGTGGGGTGTAGGGGATGTAGGGTGTGAAGGAGTGAAGGGTGTAGGGGTGTAGGTGTGAAGGGGTGAAGGAATGTGTCGGGGTGAAGGGGGGTAGGGGTGTGTAGGGGTGTGTGGGGTGTGTAGGGGTGTGTGAGGGGTGTAGGGGGTGAGGGGTGTAGGGGTGTGAGGGGGTGTAGGGGGTGTAGGGGTGTGTAGGGGTGTGAGGGGTGTGTGTAGGGGTGTGAGGGGTGAAGGGGTGTAGGGTGTGGGGGTGAAGGGTGTGTAGGGGTGTGTAGGGGTGTGAAGGGGTGTGTGTGAGGGGTGTGTAGGTGTGGGTGTAGGGGTGAAGGGGTGTGGGGGTGAGGGGTGAGTGTAGGTGTGTGGGGTGAGGATGGAACCGATGGTTACAGTATCACATACTTATAGTTTGTTAAGTTACTGTGTGGGGTTGTATCTTTTCTCGGATACTATGAGAGAGATACAGAGATACAGTTTGTTCTGGGTACTGAAATCATCAATAGAAATACAGTTTGTTAGGTTACAGGGTTTACCCGTAGGAATAATGGTGACATTAGGGGTCTGTATCTATAGGGCTACAGTTAGTGACATTACAGAGAAGTAGTACGGTGTTGTGAGGAGGAGGAAGAGGAGGAGGAAGAGGAGGAGGAGGAAGAGGAGGAGGAAGAGGAGGAGGAAGAGGAGGAGGAAGAGGAGGAGGAAGAGGAGGAGGAGTAAGAGGAGGAGGAAGAAGAGGAGGAGGAAGAGGAGAGATTCATCGAGATACAGATTGTACTGTACTATCTGCTACACCTCATTACAACACAGTAAGGACATGTGTGTGTGTGTGTGTGTGTGTGTGTGTGTACTATCTGTCATACTTATCATACTTAGTCCCTTAACTATTGTGAACTATGGCTAAAAGTGTCAAGATCATCATTCTGGGTTATACGTGCTAGTTAAAGTGTTACTACTACTACTACTACTACTACTACTACTATCAGTGTTATCTGGTTATGGCACTCAATGGGTTAAGTTATTACGAAGGTGATCGTGTTCAGTGGGTCAGACTAGCCTATCAAAAAAAACTGCTAAGTTATTATAGTAGTTAGTGCGTTAAGTGGTTCTAGTCTCAGTGTTGGTTAATGTCCTCAATGAGTTAGGTGAGGACTCTAATTAATTGGATTATTATTTTGTGCTAATTAGTTAATGACCATCATGGCTAAACTATATACTATAATTAACTGCAAGTAAATATCACACTCAAACTATTACATCATAACAAGCAAACAAAACCAAACTCTATATCTAATCTACAAACATAAACAATTACCTTCAATCTTCCCGTTGTAACCCTTCGTTGTTTATTATCCCCAGTAAACAAACAAAGAGTAAACGGAAACGGATTTGAAGATTCTGATGGTGATTGGTTAGTTCAGTCAGTGATGGTGATTGGTTAGTTCAGTCAGTGAGCCAACCGACGAGCAGTCACCTCATGGGACGCTCAGCCGATGAGGTGAGAGCCCTCGGTATTCATGGGCTCTTGTGATTGAACCAAGTTTGTATTCAAATTGATGCCTTTTCAATCTCCGTTCTGTAGGTCAAGGGCAATTTTGGGGGGCTATTTTGGGGGGCTATTTTGGGGGCTATTTGAGGGGGGGCTACAGGTAGGAGCAAACAACACTATCGATGTTATTAACCATTGAAGATCATTACCAAATCTACCTAATAACAAACGAATGAAAATGAAAATAAAAAAAACTAGCTATTTTTTTTTTACTTATTTTGTATGTGGTGTTTTAATCAGGTAACCAACTACGACAGGTTGTAAAAAAAATATTAGTCTAGAAAAAAAAAGATCTGGCTTGAAAAAAAAAAGATCTGGCTTGAAAAAAAAAGATCTGGCTTGAAAAAAAAAATAGCTTTAGAATTCCTTCGAGAAAATGCCACAACCTAGTACCATGTTGTTACGGTTGTGATCAGGTTGTTGTTTTACTATATATTCCAGAAAGGTTGTTAAGACTAAAATACGCTTATGGTTGTAAGTTGTTAAGAGAGAAATACAGTTTAGGGTTGTGAAATGGACGACAAGAAGGTGTTGGGTTGTAATGTCCGATAGGCAGAAGTTGTTAAGTGAAATGTTGTTATTCGGACACTCCCCCAAAAAAATATTGGGTTGTGATTGATCCAAGGTTGTAGGAAATTGTTGAGTTATGAGTCTAAGGTTGTTAGGTTGAGTGAGGAGGTTGTAGGAAATTGTTGAGTTATGAGTCTAAAGTTGATTATAGATACAACAACAACAACAACAACAGACAGATTATTTGTGCCTTATTGTCTTCTTTAAACACTAAGTAATATTATATTTATTATCCTCAACTAAACAATATTGAACTATAATATTTTACTAAGTGATTTATCATTATTCTCTCTCGTATTTTAAGCAACATATAATATTAACATATTTCATTAATTATTTCAGGATCAGATTTTGAGATATTTTGCAATATTTTTTCTTCTTATCAATAATTACGTTCATATCATAGAAATAAAAATCGTATCTTTTTTTCTGTAATTTTCAAGTTTTGAGTCGAGAGGAGGGATGCATTTCTTGCAGGATTTTAAAAATTATTTGATATGTAAGTTATTTTTTCAAATTTTTATCTTATTTTTCACGTAATATTTAGTTGACAGTCCACCTGGTTCTTAATTCTTGCTTATTTATATATAATTTTTCAAGATTGTATATTGTTACTTCTACGTCTCGAAGGTTCACGTTTTTAGTCTTAGAAAAATGAAACTTTTTGATTCCCAAGACTTGAGATATATCAGATGATGAGCAAAATTCCTCATATACCAGACGTCATTCTTCTCCCGGAGCTAAAATCCTCTTGGCTAGGTGAGTGAGTGAGTGAGTGAGTGAGTGAGAGTGAATTCTCGACCTGCAATAAACAGTTTCTTATAGTCTCTCAGTTTTTGTAGTTGATTTTCGACTTCATGTTGAAGCTCCGGGTTGCTGGTTCAAGTTGTCTCGTTACCACTCTTCGAATTCTAGTGAAGCAGCGACATAAGTGATGATTATTTTAAGAATTAAAACAAACCGGACTATAACAAGCTTCACGTCCTCAGTGATGTTGTTGGTCTTACAAGATTGTTTCAGTATAGATCTTCGACTTTAGGATGGGTGGATCCAACCTCCTACTCCACCACCTGATGGGCTTGATTTGCGTCCTTGTGTGGGTCTTCAACTTTATATATACTGAGGAGTGAAATAATCAGAATCCATAGATACCAATTCACGTCTGATGGGGGTCTTCTGTGATCATCTTACAAGGCCATTTAGTATAACAACCTCGAATACTACTAATTCTAGGCTTTATGGACACTTGCTGTCATTTTCCCAAGACAATTAGGAAACGAATAACATCCAGTATTCATGGACACACACACTGGAATAACATACATCAACCAACTAAGCTTTGAAAAATAAGAATTCGGACACTTCAAAGCCACGTATTCGTCCCACACACACTGACGTAACCCATACAAGTCTCCCGGGGTTATGGTAGACAGAGAGGCCTCATGGACACCTCTCATGACCGCTGAAAGAAAGGAAATTACCTCACGTATTTCTATATATTTCCAGACTAATAAAGAGTAAAACTTGTCCACTAGTAAACCCATAAATACCTATACACTCTTGGGTCTCTTTTAACGACCTTCCACAACTTTAAAAGACAAGATCATGGACACTGGTTGACTCAAGGTAACGTGGCCACAGTAGTGATGTGTAGAAGATCTGCAACAGGTCCTTCACGTCTGGCAGCTGTCGTCATCACACCACCTTGACACACGACCCAGCCAGCCAGCCGACAGAGACGCTCGTGGTCATCACAATAGAGGGCTTCAGGAGGTGGGAGAGCTTCAGGAGGAGAGAGAACTTCAGGAGGAGGGGCGAGAGCTTCAGGAGGTGGGAGAGCTTTAGGAGGAGAGAGAGCTTCAGGAGGTGGGAGAGCTTCAGGAGGTGGGAGAGCTTCAGGAGGAGGGAGAGCTTCAGGAGGAGGGGCGAGAGCTTCAGGAGGTGGGAGAGCTTCAGGAGGGGCTACAAGATCTTATAGAAGTAAAGGAGGAGGAAGAGAGCCGACCCGATACTGGTGGTGGAGGAACGGGTGGCAGGAGGAGCCCCGTTGCAGCCTTCGTAGTCATCACAGCTCTGGAGACAGCCCTTGACGTACCTGACGGGGAGAGGAGACCAGGTGAGTGAGTCTCCAGTGTGAGGAGACAGTAGGAGAGACACGGCAGCTTCTACAGGTGAAACTTTTAATAGTAAGGAAGAGAGAGAGAGAGAGAGAGAGAGAGAGAGAGAGAGAGAGAGAGACAGAGAGAGAGAGATAGAGAGACTCGAGGTAAACTAGTCGAATGTTATAAGTTTTTACCTGAGTGTTAGACAGGTAACCAAAGCTGAACCTGTCTTATTATTACCAACTTTGAAAAATAAGAAAAAAAAATTATACGTCCAATTTAAGGTAATTTTATGTCATTTATGGTAAAGAGAATGATGGCACGTATAATTTAGGTTAACTTTAAGTATAATTAAAGGTATGCAGAATAATTATATGCCCAATTTAGGTAGTAAACAAGATGACTAATACAAAGTGACGTCAGAACACTTAATTGAACCGAAGGCAACAACTATAACACCTTAATAAACACACAGGTAGGTAAAACATACAGGTAACCTACTAATAAACATATCATATAATAGGAGAAAAAACCTAAACATTTTAAACATGAACATCATCAAAGAACTAACATTATTCTTTAAACACAATACATTAGTTTATTTTGAAGTGTTAGATAAGGTAAATAAACTTGTAAGGAAAGATAGTATTGTGTGTATGGTGCCCTTTAATCTATTAGGTGAAGTCTAATATAGGTATGATTCACTTACTGGTATAAAGCTCTTATCTCTTTCTTTAACTCTCTCTTTCTTTCTATCTGTTTCTCTCTATAAAGCTCTATCTATCTCTTTAATTCTCTTTATTTCTCTCTTTTCTTTCTCTTTCTCTCTCTGTATTTTTCCATCTATGTCCTTCTCTCTCTCTCTCTCTCTCTCTCTCTCTCTCTCTATTGTTTACTATTTCATAAACAACATAAGAACATAAGAAAATAAGGAGTCTGCAATAGGCCGGTTGACCTGTGCATGGCAGCTCCTGTCGAGAGTTACTACCACTCTCTATCATCCATGAATCTATCTAGCCTCCTTTTAAGACTTTCCAGAGTTCCAGCACTTACTACAAAGTTGCTAAGCTTGTTCCACTCGTCCACCACCCTATTTGTGAACCAGTTTCTTCCTATCTCCCTCCTAAACCTAAACTTATCCAACTTGAATCCGTTGCTCCGAGTCCTATCCTGCTCGGATATTATAAGAACTTTATCTATATCCCCTTTATTGATTCCTTTCACCCACTTAAATACTTCTATCATATCTCCCCGCACTCTTCGTCTTTGTAGGGAATGCAAGTTTAGTTTCTTTAACCTATCTTGATATGGTAGGTTTCTAAGTCCCACGACCCACGACTAACTTCACAATCCTGACTTTAATTCCGTCAAGTAACACAGGCGATAATGACCGTAACACTCGTCATGTTCCTGAAATCAAAGTTACGTAAACAGGTCAAGTCACAATGACCCTTTAGGCACGCCGTTACTTAACCTAACGTGCATTACTACAACTCTCATCTATACGTGCAGGTGCAACAGTATACCTTAAACAACAACAACAACAAACAACAACAACAACAAGACATCGAGAAATAGATAAACATAACAAGCAATATATTGAATAAAAATGGGTATATGAAGGAAAGTGAGATAATTAGGGTTAATAGAGAGAAAATAAGATAGATGAGAGATATATTGAGATGGAAGATGGGCTATATGAGTGATAAATGAGGATAATGGTGAGATGAAATGAGATAGAGAAGTGAGAGAATGAGAGAACAGGAGATATATTATATAATTATTGATAAACTTCGACATTATTGAGATTCTAACATTGAAAATTTATAGAACATAGGACTAAATTATGAAATATATGTATCTTTATGAGAAGAAAAAAGTATATGTAATTTTTCTGGTACATAAAATGAGGAAAGTTTTCAGATATCATAAAACAAAAACAAAATATATATAACTGGGACAACTATATATTTTTTTTGTACACAGTTTAGTAATAATTGCATAATCTGGTCAAAGAACCGAGACTACATGTATAAAGACAGATTTTAACAATGAATAAATTACAGTGAAAATATAAAATGCACCTAATTAAATTAACGAATAAAAATGACATTAAAATTACACAAATAATTATTTGTTTTTTTGAGAGGGGAAATATTCTGTTTAATATTGACTTTTTGTGGTTAATCTTAAGTTACCTGACACGGTATAGTTTCTTACACCTTCGCTTACCTGTGTTAATTATAGCGCTTATCTTTGTAAATGTGTGTGTGTGTGTGTGTGTGTGTGTGTAGAAGGTGTACGTAATTGAAGGTAATACTCCAGTAGAAGGTCAAGGTAATACTCCAGCAGAAGGTCAAGGTAATACTCCAGTAGAAGGTCAAGACAACGCTTTGAGGATGACTTTGAAAACGTCCAGTTCCTCTAAACCTTGAGGATGATCCCATGCTTGGCCAAACCTAGGAGGTAGGTGGCCAAACCTTGGAGGCAGATGGCCAAACCTTGAGAGCAGATGGCCAAACTATGAAGACAGATGGCCAAACATTGAGAGCAGATGGTCAAACTATTAAGACAGATGGCCAAACTTTGAGAGCAGATGGTCAAACTATGAAGGCAGATGGCCAGGCCTTTGAGGGAGGTGGCGAAATCATTGAGGCAGGTGGCCAGGCGGGTGTTACTGAGGACGGAACATTGGCAGGTGGTGATGAATGGAGGGGGAGAGGAGAGGGGAGGGAGGAGGTGGGGGTGGAGGGGGAGGGGGGAGTGCCTCACACCACACAATATCAAGGAAGATATTTCCCTCCACGATTCTCAACGATTCTTAAGTCAAATTTTCCCTCGTATCTGCACTGATGGTATCCCAGTAAAGTCACGCTTATAATTCGACGCCATCTTTGGTGTGTGTGTGTGTGTGTGTGTGTGTGTGTGTGTGTGTGTCTGTGTGTGTGTGTGTGTGTGTGTGAGTGTGTGTGTGTTAAGATACGATATTTTATCACCAGTTGGAGGAAATAACTTACGACTATTTGAACATCCGACACTTGCCAAATTAAAATGTACAGAAAAAAGAAAAACGAGTTACTTTGGTTTAGTTTATGTTTAGATTAGGTTAGATTAGGTTAGGCTAGGTTAGGTTAGGTTAGATAAGCAATGTCATGAAATCAGAGCAAAATAGCACCAAGACTGACCTGACAGTTGGCGGCCACACTGCCAGAACAAACCAAGAGTGAAGTAAGATCTTTGTTTACATCGACGAGATAAACAAAAGACCCAGAACACAAACACTACCTTCTGTATGGCGGAGAGAAGAGACCAGGTGAGATAACGTGACCCCAAACAACGTCACGTAAGATCAAGTTTAGAGAGAGGTGAAGCAGTGAGGAGACACACACACACACATACACACACACACACACACAGGTACACACACACACACACACACACACACACACACACACACACACACACCTCTAAAACAGACAAACTTAAAACCATTTCCACGGACTGTGAAGAATGAATATGAAATTACTTGACGAGAGAGAGAGAGAGAGAGAGAGAGAGAGAGAAAGAGAGAGAGAGAGCTATGTGACGTGGAAAAGACAGATGTTGACAGAGAGACGAAGACGGTCGAAAAGGCTGATACCTCTTGCACATCTGTCGGAGGCTTTTGAGGCTCACACACCTGAGACACATGTTTACCTGCTCTCACAACACAGGTAGTGGTAGGTGGTGGGGGGGGGGGGCAGTAAGTGTTAAGCTTCATCACTAAGGAAGTCATTATAAAGCTCCGTGTTAATATATAACATTATGTCTACTGAAGGGAAAGTGTAGACTACTGTATTAACACGATTACTGACCCGTAGTTAGTGACCGAACAGCCTTTGAGCTCAGAGGTGTTGATTTTGTGTGAGTCTTTTCTGTTTTATCTGTCATTTAAGAGAGAGATGATAGCGTGGTTAACAGCGCCAGGGCGAGCGATCGACATCACCAGGCGTAAACTCTCCCACATACACATGACAGGTGGTAAGTGTTGAATCACCGGCTCTGGCGCTGTGTTGTGCAGGTTAACACACACACACACACACACACACACACACACACACACACACTGTATTACTCACAGGTTTACACATCAAGAAAACAATTAGTGAAAGTTTGATAAGAGCGGTGACGTATGAGGCTCCGGGGCCAGTAGGTGAGAGAGAGAGAGAGAGAGAGAGAGAGAGAGAGAGAGAGAGAGAGAGAGAGAGAGACCCCCGCTAAGCCTTGTCTTACTTCTTCTCTAAGTAGAAGCTCCCACAGTGCGACATGCGTATGATCTCGGTGTCGGTGGTGAGGGTGCCGCTGTCCAGAGCGCACGACCGGATGGTAATAGTTTGGCCTGAGTCATCTGAAAGAACAAACCGCTCACAACAGTCTCTTATAACACCATATTTCTTCTGTCCGTCCGTCCGTCTGTCCGTCCGTCCGTTGGGGAAAGGTAAATTTGGACGCACATGAGCTTCTTACACGGGACGATGAGCTGTCTGGGACGAAAAGCCAAATAACTATCAATATAGTCTCATGTTATCGAGGCTGTCGGTACACGGAAGTCTTGAGGCGGAGGACACGACGATGACGCTGAGGTTGTCCTCGTGTTGTGCCCCTCACGGTTAGGTATTTCTTGGGGGTAGGGACGGGGATTTGGGGGAGAGTTTCGGGAGCATCCAGTGACCACAGGGAACTAACAACTGTTAGTGAGGTAGAAGGTAAAGCTGCCCTCGGCGGCTGCACGTCCTTGACTGCTTCATGCGGTGCGGGTCAAGGAAATAATTGGTCAAGGATTAAAACTGGGGAGAAATGCAATGATTAATTCTACTATAATGATGACATAAAAAGTTCATATCACTTTTCACTTCACATGACAACCCAAACTAAGTCAAACCTAAGATAACAACAAGATTATTAGAGTAGCATCACCATGCGTGGCTCACCGGCGTCAGGACCTACGTGATCACGAGACAACACCACACAACATCCTAACACAAACATTCATGTGCTATGGAACATTCAGATTATAATGAACAAATTATATATGAATCAGATCCTGTATGTTGTTAGCAAGCCGCTTGATGCTGTACGTCCGGGTTCTGAAAGGTTCCAGGCTACTGTCCTTCTCTGGCTGGTGATGTGAGAAGGTAACGATCTGGTGTATCTAGCCTCGAGTGACAGGCAAGTACATTCTCTCATTCCCAGGTAAAAGATATTTATAACCCAAGAATCTTTCAGAATCCTTGTCCAGGGTCGTACTGTTAGTATCTAAAAGGCTGCCTTAAGATTCTCGGCAGGATGATACCCACAATAACACTGGCTCTATTTAGGGAGCAGCCCCATAGTGTAACAGTAGGACCCAGGACACCTCCACCCCATTATGTTGGTCTGGTCAAGGTCCTTCACCTCAGGCCGTCTGATGCTGACAGTCGGAGGAGACACAACACCTTCCTTCATCATCATGTCAATAAAACACTAGATTATTATCATTTTGTTTTGCTTTCTGTAATGTGTTAAAGCAGAGGCTGCATAAGAGTCCAGGAAGGTCCGAGTTACGAGAGAAGTGTGAAAACATAATAATATCCGACCCCATAATGAGTACTACTGGGTACTGTAGGCAGCAGCTGTCAAACACACACCCATCTCATGCTGTCTAGTAAACAACTTATATGTTGTGTCTACTGCATCACCAGCCACCACTCCCACCAGCAGCAGCAGCAGCCATAACCACTGTTAATAAGTAACAGAAGATGTATCCTAGCGGGGCACTTGTTGGGAGGGAGACCTACCTGCCGGAGAGAACAAACGCCCCACAGTGGGACATCCTGGCCAGCTCAGTGTCCAGCGTGAGGGAACCGGAGTCTACAGTGCAGTCCCGTATAATCAGAGTTTGTCCATTGTCGTCTGTAAATGGACAAGTGTGTTCCAGAGGTACCCCTGACCACCCCCCCCCCCCTGCTGACAGTCACCATCATGGCTCCTAATGACTGTCACCCCACTGACACACACAATAATAATAATAATGATAAATAATAATAATAATAATAATAATAATAATAATAATAATAATAATAATAATAATAATAATAATAATAATAATAATAATAATAATAATAATAATAATAATAATAATAATAATAATAATAATAATAATAATAATAATAATAATAATAATAATAATAATAATAATAATAATAATAATAATAATAATAATAATAATAATCCACAAGATACACATAGTCATTTAAATTGCAGAAAATAAACAATAATACCCGTAACAAATTATAACACGAATTACCTCCAAGGAAACAAGGACTTACCGTTGATGTTACATAAACCAATTCTCACTATACTTAAAGAATTACCTGAGCCTTAATGACCAGTGACCAGTGACATAAGAGGATGAGAAGTATTGTTGTTGTGGCCCTGTTAACACCTGTCCACACCTGCCTACACCGGTCCACACCTGTCCACACTGGCCATGGTGACTATAAGGTGTAATGTACCTGTCAAAACCTGTCATGGCGGTTATAGGGTCCCTTAACTAGTACTGTGTGTGTGTGTGTGTGTGTGTGTGTGTGTGTATGTGTGTGTGTGTGTGTGTGTGTGTACGCAGTTATTACTTGTCTTCCTGCACCTCTAGTTACGAGGCAAATTTACCTTAATACCCATTGAGAATCTTACTAAAATTCCCAAACCACAAGACCAACGCCAGCATGAGCACTAACAAACGCCTGGCCCTTCTCCCACCTTCCCTTCCTTTCTCACTTAGTAATGTCACGTTTATGGTAGCTTTCGCCAGACGTAAGCTACCGCCTGTGTTTTTTTTCTGCCTGCGGTGAGGTGTGTTTATGGTAAGGCTCCAGTCTTCCTTTTACACGATGGTGCGAATGTTGACCTCAGTGTGTGTTTACATAAGTCAGGACCAACAAGCTCAGACATTCTAACTTTACCTGATAACTCGGCATCAAATAACACACCTGTTTACATTAACATTCTCAGGTGCGCGTTAGAGACTGTTTTGGTAGTCCTGTTAGTGTCGTTAATCTGAGTGAGTTAGATACATAGTCATAACTTCTATTACGAGGGAAACTTAAGATTAGTTTCACCTGTTTCCTTGGCTCAGGTAATGTGCCACACCTGACCAATCCCACTCACCGCCAGCCTAAACTGTTTATCTCATCTCATTCACCTCAGCCCTCCTACCTTGTCTAACAACACTGCTGCCTCTCTCTCTCTCTCTCTCTCTCTCTCTCTCTCTCTCTGCTATCTCCATTTTCTTCATTTTAATCTTTTTTTATATAATCTTTCCCTATTTCTCACTCTATCTATTTATCTCTCCTTCTCCATACTCACCAACATTCTCTCTTTCTCTCTCACTATATATTTCTCACTAGCACTCTCTCTCTTTCTCTCTCTCACACTATCTCTCACCATAGATGCCAGCGAGTTTAATACAGGCAGTGGCTGGAAAGAGACCCTCCCTGCCTTTACGGCCCGCCAAACAGGGACTCTCCAGCATCCCCACCGTGTAGTTATTGTGGAAGGGGTCCTCACAGCTGGGGTTGTCGCCGTTCACGGACACACACTTGAAGCAGTCGATCCCTTGAGCTCCTGAAGGTGGCGAAGAAGAAGATGAATTAGTTTCTCGTATTGTGGGCGTGTGTGAAATTCTCTGATAGGGGTAAGGAGGAAGAGGAGAGGTAGAGGATGGAAGGAGGAGGTAGAGGAGGGGGAGAAAGAGGAGGTAGAGGAGGGGAGAAGGAGGTAAATGAAGGTGGGAAGTAGGACGACGAAGGGAAGAATTAGGAAAAGGAGGTGAGAGAGAAGGAAGAGGAGGATAGGATAGGAGGAAAAAGAGGAGTAGGAGGAAAGGGGGGGAGGAAAAATATAAAGACGGAAGAAAAAGATGAAGAAGGAGAGGAAGAAGAAGGAAAGGAATAAGAAGAAGGAAGAGAAGTAAGTTAAAGAAGATAGTTGACTTTAAGGCTTGGAGATTTCTACCTGACGAAAGAGAGAGATCATACACATACCAAAAAGTCAATTCTCATCGGACGTCGTAAAGTTTCAAGTCTGTTTTGTTGTTGTATAAAGTGAGGCGATGCACTGGAGGACATCAATCCCTAGAGTGCATGAAGGAGGAGGAAGAGGAGGAGGAGGAAGAGGAGGAAGAGGAGAAGGAAGAAGAGGAGAAGGAAAAGGAAGAGGAGAAGGAGGAGGAGGAGGAGGAGGGAAATGGGGGATGAGTCATAAGCTTGGAGAAGGGGGAAAATAGGGTGAGGAAAGAAGGGGTGAAGGAAGGAGGGAGTGAGGTGAGAAGGTGAGGGGAGACAGAGGTGAGGAGAGGAGGGTATGAAGGATATGAGAAGCTAAGGAGAGTAGAAGCCTCGAGGTGTGAATAAGAAGACCTTCTGCCTGGTATAATTAAGATAACAGTGTTGCTCCTCATTATGTAGAAGCTAAGGGTAGTCTAAAGGGTAGGGAGGTAAGGGGCCCTTAGTATGTAGGAGCCCTTAGATCCTCCCTCCACCAGTTTAAGGGTTGGAGGGGCCTGGAGCGTAGTGGTAGTAGACGAAGGGGGTCAAGACAGTAGCAGATGGACCCTGAACCTTTGTTATCTGAGACTGCCTGAGGGGGACGTCTCAGAACACTAATTGTGTCCTGCTGCAGCGACGTCAGGAGGGTTAGTAAGTACGTCAGCAACCAAGGTCAGGAGAGTGTCAGTCCAGGACCAAAATCAGCACTTGTGAGGGTTAGAAAAAAAAAAGAAAAAAAAAAGATGTCAGCTACTTTTTATTTATTTTAATTTTTTGGGGCGTCAGTAAATTACATACCGGGAGATGATATTATTTATGGAGGGAACTGTAGCAGCGAGTCTCTCTGTCTCTCTCTCTCTCTCTCTCTCTCTCTCTCTCTCTCCCTCTCTCTCTCTCTAGGCCACAAGAGACTCAACAAAAACTATGACTTCTGGGTACCTAACAACCTTCCCACATTTACCGGATAATATTTCTTGTGTTGGGTATATTATTATTTCCCAGAGTCTCCATGTGTGTGTGTGTGTGTGTGTGTGTGTGTGTGTGTGTGTGTGTGTGTGTGTGTGTGTGTGGTCTGTCTCTCTCTCTCTCTCTCTCTCTGCATACTCCTTCATTCCTTCCTCTCCTTCCTCACTCCTGCCATATCTCCTGTCAGTTCTCTTCCTCCTCCCTTCAACCACCCTGCCAGGATTTATTACAGTCACTTGAGAAAAAAAAAAACACCTAAGCTATTTTTTTCTTTTAGTGATCATGTTTGTGTGTTTGGTGGCCACAGAGGGTGTGTTTGAGCTGTGTTTTATTAAGTTATGAAATTTTATTATAGAAAACGGGTAGATTTATAAAGAAAAACGGTGTGAAAGTGAAGAAAGAAAATCGTGTTTGTAAGAAATAATTTGAAGGGTATACTTATTTAATTATTTTTATTCCATTGTCATTGTTTTTTTTGTTTTTTTTTCCGGGGATAACAGTAATAATAATGGCAGAAATAGTATTAAATAAAGAAAGAGAGAGAGAGAGAGAGAGAGAGAGAGAGAGAGAGAGACCATTCACACCCACACTCATCAAAATAAAAAAAAATCTCTCAGAACAAATCCGAACATGAATATATTTTTGAAGCCTTTAATCAGAGGTGTGTGTGTGTGTGTGTGTGTGTGTGTGTGTGTGACGCTAAAGTGGGCTCGTAAACCTTTGTAGCGTGTTCCTCTTAATCACCTTATTGACAGTTAACGAGACCATGGTAGCTGTGTTAGAGAGAGAGACAGAGAGACAGTTAACGAGACCATGGTAGCTGTGTTAGAGAGAGAGAGACAGAGAGACAGTTAACGAGACCATGGTAGCTGTGTTAGAGAGAGAGACAGAGAGACAGTTAACGAGACCACGGTAGCTGTGTAGAGAGAGACAGAGTAACGAGACCATGATAGCTGTGTTAGAGAGAGAAATTAACGAGACCACAGTAGCTATGTGAGAGATGAGAAAATGACTGGCTGTGAGAGATAGAGAGAGCCAATATTTGCTTTTGATTAGTGCGTGACGTGTGGGAGAGAATTTGGTATGCTGGGAGGTAGGGACTGAGATGTGAGATTGCTATTTGTGTGCGGGGTGCGATTCATCTCTCTCTCCCTCGTAACCCGTTGTCTTCAGGCGTCAAAACAAGTCATCAGTTTCTTCACGTGTTGGAGGTGAAGAGAAGCTTTCCATCACTCGGGTAAAAAAATAATATATATATCAGTTCCAGGAAGATAAAAAAAGATATGTGGATTATGTTATCAGCTGTCGGTGTTATGAGAGAGAGAGAGAGAGAGAGAGAGAGAGAGAGAGAGAGAAATATGGTACTAAGTTTTAGGTACACACACAAACACACACACACACACAAACACACACACACAAACACACACACACACACACTGTCTTTCTCTTTCTCTCCCTCTCTCTCTTTCTTTCTTATAATCTATTATCTTTAACGTATGGCCTCATTTATCACTCTCTCTCTCTCTCTTTGTTCCTTCTCTTTACTATTTTTCCAATTCCTCTTCCGCTTTGTGATTCTGACTATTATCTCTCTTCTATCTCTTACTACTTTTCTAACTCTATTTTGTCTCTTTTTTTTCCCTTTCACACTTTTTGTCTTCTTAATTTTTCTTTCGTTTCTTTTTTCTCTCTCTTTTTTTTATCTTTGTTTTTCTCTTTCCTTTTCCTTTCTCTTCTACCCTTTTCTTTCTCTCTCGCTCTCTCTCTCTCACTCTCTGTTACTTACTATCTCTCTCACTCATTCTTTCTCTCTCTTTCTCACACTCTGTTACTTATTATCTCTCTCTCTCTCTCTCATTCTCTCTCTCTCTCCTCTCTGTTACTCTCTCTCTCTCTCTCTCTCTCTCTCTCTCTCTCTCTCTCTCTACTCTCTCTCTCTCTCTCTCATTCTCTCTCTCTCTCTCACTCTCTGTTACTTATTATCTCTCTCTCTCTCTCTCTCTCCTTTTCTCCTTTCACCATCACTACACACACCACCACTTACGCCCGTTCGTGGACTAGTCATTCACTGCAGATTGGGCGTATAACTCATGGTAATCAGTGTCAAGTAGAGCGTAGGAGTCATGAGCCACTACAGCGAGGCGTAAAATTAAGTGGTTCAGCAATGTGTATAAAATGCATTGGGATATATTACGCACTATAGCAGGGTGTGTAAATTAAGTGGTTTAGGAATGCGTATAAATTGCGTAGGAATATATTACGCACTATAGCAGGGTGTGTAAATTAAGTGGTTTAGGAATGCGTATAAATTGCGTTGACTATCTATGACTTACCTCCAGTTAACCCACTAGCTCTCCTAGGAAAATAATATGAGGATGGTATATACCTTTTTCATGGCCCTCCTAGGAATGGAAATATATGCCTTCTATTTACAGGACGAAGAAGGTAACTTTATACTCTCACCTGGGGAAAAAATATCTGACTTTCTATTTACAGGATGAGGAAGGTAACTTTATACTCTCACCTGGGGAAAAAATATCTGACTTTCTATTTACAGGATGAGGAAGGTAACTTTATACTCTCACCTGGGTAAAAAATGTATTCGACTCACCTTCCGTCAGAGACATGGTGAGGAGGATAAGGATGACCAGTGGCGTGTCCAGGGGTGTCCTAAACCGGGGGGGTCGCCTCCAGTGGACACGCGTCCCACTCACAAGTCCAAGTCTCGCCCTCATGGCCCTGCAAGAGTGAGAGAGAGTTAGTGAGAGAAAGTGAGAGAGAGAGAGAGTTAGAAAGGATAAGATGAGTATATGTATTAGTAAAGAGGTAACAAGTAAACACAGGTAACAACAGGTAAGAATATGTACAACGTATCAACAGGTAACAACAGGTAACAACGGGTACAATGTAACAACAGGTAAGAACAGGTAAGAACAGGTAAGAACAGGTAAGAACAGGTAACAACAGGTAAGGACAGGTGAGACAGCTCCAGGTGGAGGAAGGCAGTACTATTGTCCATCACCCACGACCTTCATTAGTGTTGTGAATAGCCGTCATCATCGGTCCCATTGTCATCTTTCCCTTATACCTGCAGGCGTCCCGAGCCTTTTTACGGCACGCCACCATGACAACCAAGGTTCTTATGTAGGTAATCGGGATGGAGACACGAGAGGGCGGGAGGGGGAGAGAGATAGAGAGAGGAGGTCTTATTGGAACGGTAGATTAGGGTCGTCTAAGATCTTATAGGGACGACATGTAAGGAGGTTCTTAGGCAGGTAATCAAGACGGAGACGTGTGGGTGACGAGGAATTTTCCACACACACACACACACACACACACACACACACACACACCACTCCCCAGGATGACTCTGACCTGCTGGTCTGATGGTTACCTCACACACGCGGTCGACCAGGTAAAGTGGATTAGAATTTTACCTGGTAGACCTATCAGCAGTGGTGCAGTGGATTACTTACTGAGAGAGAGAGAGAGACAGACAGACAGACAGACAGACAGACAGACAGACAAAGTACTCACTGTCAACACCACCAGTCAATTTTGCTCCCACAGGAAGAGGAAGTCACCAGGTGGAAGAGTAAATAACTAAGAGGAGGAAAACAGATGAGAGAGACAGACAAACAGACAGAAAAGGGGAGAAGGAGAAAAGAAGAAAGAGTTAGAGAGAAAGATTGATAGACAGGTAGACAGAAATACAGACAGATAGATAGACCTCCCCAACGCGTCATTCACCATCACTTCACCATACACTTCACCATCATCACCATACACTTCACCATCATCATCATACACTTCACCATCATCACCATACACTTCACCATCATCATCATACACTTCACCATCATCACCATACACTTCACCATACACTTCACATACACTTCACCATCATCCATACACTTCACCATCATCACCATACACTTCATCATCACCATACACTTCACCATCATCACCATACACTTCACCATCATCATCATACACTTCACCATCACCATACACTCCATCCTCATCATACCTCATCATCATACACTTCATGCATCATACCTCACTCCGCCATGAACCACAGTTGCCAGAATACAAAGCTTGGGTAAATATTTAGAACTTGTGCAGAATGTTGATGGAGTGAGTCTTATGAATTATTGCTTCTATCTCTCTCTACTGCTGCTGAATTATTACGAATTATTGTGAATTATTTGTGTTTTATTGTGGTTTATGGTGAATTATTGGGAATTATTGGGAATTATTGGGTATTATTAGGAATTGTTGGGAATTATTACGAATTATTGGGAATTATTACGAATTATTGGGAGTTATTGTATTATTTTTACACAGTATTGTTTTAAACGAAAGATTATGTCCTCCTGTGTGTGTGTGTGTGTGTGTGTATGTGTGTGTGTGTATGTGTGTGTGTGTGTGTGTGTGTGTGTGAGTGTGTGTGAAATAAAATAACACATACACATTCCAGATTAAATTTCTTAAAAAAAAATATACTAAAATTTAAAACCTCATTAATTAATTTTTTATTCAACATGATGACACTTTTTCACCTAAGGGCTTAACGAGTGTGCAGGTGAATAACAGGTGACCGTGTGACTTACCTGAGCTCCGGGGCTTAATTAATGCTCTATGTAACACACCACGCGGAAGACGTAAGGAGGAGGAAGAGGTGGAGGAGGGGTGAGGAGGAGGAGGAAGAGGGGGAAGAGGGGGAAGGGTTAAAGGATGGTGAAGAGGAGAGGTGGGGGGGGAGGAGGAGGAAGGGGTGAGGGGATGGTGGAGAGTGGTGGACAGGAGGAGGAAGAGGAGGAGGAGGAGGAGGAGGAGGGAGAGAAGGAAAGGAGAATGTACGTATAAAATGCAATCACACACACACACACACACACACACACACACACACACACACACACACACATAAATTAGATATTGAACTTCCGGTGTGGTGGATTATTTATCGACCTAATCCTTGAAATACACTCTGGAGGACGACCTTTAAATGCTACGAGTATGAGCAAGAGGAGTAACTTCATTCATTCATTAACTATACCAGAGAAGTTTATTTTTATTACGTGCGTCAGTAGATCTATGAACGCTGGTCTTGACTGAACAACCATACTGATTAACTCACTGAGAAGAACTAATTTATTCATATATTATTTTAAACCAATATTTCCTCACTAACTTCATAACAAAATCACACTATAACTCACATAACTATAATATATTCTAAATTATACCCCATTAACATATATTAAAAACCACAATATAAAAAGATATTATATTTAGTTTATTCGATACGTATAATTTATTTTCAAAATCTTAGCTCTTATATATATTTTAATTTTGTATTGTGACGTGGGAAAATTTAGTGTATAAGAACCTCCATCTTTATGACTTCCTGGTGGCGTATGTAAATGAGGGAATTATTGTGGTCATATACAAGAAGATTGGAAAAGTCTGAGGAAGGAAAACTATATGTATACTCTCTCTCTCTCTCTCTCTCTCTCTCTCTCTCTCTCGCACACACACACACACACACACACACACACACACACACACTCACCTGACTTCTCACCTTTAACACCTACAATTTTCAGGTGTACTTGTTACAGCTCTTCCACACCTGAAACTTTCATTTACTTTCATTTGTAATTTTCTCAACTTTTTATTTCCCCCTGGACTGTGTTAGATGAATTTTACTTTCTCTCTGTTATTTCTCTTTCACTCTGTTACTTTCTCTCTACATCTCTGTTACTTTCTCTTCTCTCTACATGTCTGTTACTTTCTCTTTTTCTCTGTTACTTTCTCTCTATATCTCTCCTTTTCTATCTTTGTTACTTTCTCTCTTTCGATCCATTTTCACCATCTCTCTCACCTCTCACTCGTATCTTTCCTAATCCTCGGGGGAAGAGGGCAGAGGATGATGAGAATGCTACCCCTACTGTCTGTCACACACACACACACACACACACACACACACACACACACACACACACACACACACACACACACACACACACACACACACACACAGAACTTTTCTAATATCCGTCATAATAATATCGAAATCAAAATATCTTTCCCAGGATTCCATGCAGGATGTGTGTGTGTGTGTGTCTCTCTCTCTCTCTCTCTCTTTCTCTCTCTCTCTCTCTCTCTCTCTCCCTCTCTCTCTCTCTCTCTCTCTCTCACCTAGAACAGATCCCCTTAGCCTCTTTCATCACCTCTCCCTCATCTAATCAACTTAAAACGAGTCCCCAGATAATGAGTGTTGACGACTAGCCGATGAGCCTCCGGGATATAAAGGGGAAGACGGTGTAATCGGCCGCTTGAAATCGCCTTAGCGTGAGAGCGTTTCCTGGTAACCTGGTGGCGACTAAACCTTCTCCAGGCTGCTGACCGAGTGATAGATCAACTTAGAAGAGAGATTTATTCGCCAGAGGGGAGATTTATTCGCTAGAGGTGGGATTTATTCGCCCGGGGAGAGATTTATTCGCTAGAGGAGAGATTTATTCGCCAGAGGGGAGATTGTATACTCATTTATGCCTCTGTTATATACACCGACATGACGATTGATAACTGAAAATTGAAGAATGAGGGTTAAAACTCAAGTGTGACGGTAAAAAACTCAAGCGTGACGGTAAAAAACTTCATGCACCAAAGAAGAAAAAAAAAATCAATTACTGGTGACGCAAACTCTTGTGTTGAGTGGATCATTGTTCCAACCATGGCGACACAATATACTGTACCATGACACTATACTGTACCATGACACTATACTGTACCATGATATACTGTACCATGACACTATACTGTACCATGACACTATACTGTACCATGACACTATACTGTACCATGATATACTGTACCATGACACTCCTGTACCATGATATACTGTACCATGACTATACTGTACCGATATACGCTGACACTATACTGTACCATGATATGTACCGCTGACACTATACTGCATCATGACACTATACTGTGCCATGACACTATCTATCCCATGACACTATACTGTACCATGACACTATACTGTACCATGACTATACTGTACCATGACACTATACTGTACCATGACACTATACTGCATCATGACATATACTGTACCATGACACTTTTACCATGACACTATCTGTACCATTGTGACACTATACTACCATGACACTATACTGTACCATGATATACTGTACCATGATATACTGTCCATGACACTATACTGTACCATGATATACTGTACCATGACACTATACTGTACCATGATATACTGTACCATGACACTATACTGCATCATGACACTATACTGTACCATGACACTATACTGTACCATGACACTGTAACCATTATACAACAAGGTGTGGGGAGGGAAGAAAGTAAGTATTTCAGTACTGGGGTTTATTCCTGTTGTTCTGACTCCATAAAAGGTTTTCTTCAGAGCAAACAAGTGATGGTAAGTTACTGAATAATATATACTCGTTTTACACCTGTTTGGATGCTTCACCGCCTCTAATTGGTCCTGCCCTGCCCCTTCTGACCAATCATCTGTCTGGATTCCTCACCACCTCTGATTGGTCTCGCCCTGCCCCTTCTGACCAATCATCTGTCTGATTCCCTCACCACCTCTGATTGGTCTCGTCCTGCCCTTCTGACCAATCATCTGTCTGATTCCTCACCACCTCTGATTGGTCTCGCCCTGCCCTTCTGACCATCACAGCACCTGTACT